TGAAATTTGTTAATTTCGTCTATGTCGTCATTCGTGTGTATGAGACTATAAAAAGTGTCGTGGAATTGCAACCAATTCTCATATGAACCATCAAACCTTGGCAACTGAATTGTAGTTAATTTAATGGCGTTAAAACGGGAGGAGCCTGCCTCAGAACTTGGATTATTACGCGATTTGTTATAGCCACCAGTGATTTTTTGTGCTTTTGGTACCAATTTAAAGTAACGACTCTCGAAATCGCTACGAGCAGACTCGAGTGCATTACCGATGATTTTGAAGCACAATTCAAAATCATTGGTAATGCACACGATTCTTGTCTAAACTTCGTCGTATAGAGCATACAATGAATCAATCTTACTTATTCGTAGTTGTAACTCGTTTATTTCCGTTTCTTCAATGGAATGAACGTCTAATGAGTTCAAATAAGTTTCAAAAACGGTTAATCGAACCTTGTAGCTAGCATGTTTCTTATTTAGATCACTTTCCTCATTTTTTGCGCCTCTCTCTGTCATTTTGGAAGGCGGTTGCTAGACCTGGAACGTTTTACAAATGATTTGTGTAAATAACCTATGTATACTATATACTCTCTTTATGAACAATTCACAGCTGATTAAACGTTGAAATATGAACATACATGATAACAGTTACGCTAATTTACAAATCTTTATGATTGCAAAGTAATTTCTTCAAGTAAGTAATTATGCAATAATTATAGGTAAATTACGTACATGCCAAAGTGAAGTTATAAAATAATATAAGAACTAAGTTACTTACAGATTTTTTATATTAGCAAATACCTAAGTCACTGAGAACAAGTAATTAAATTAATTATAATTGAACTAACGGCAATACTAACCTTATCACAATCAATGTTACCATACAAGTTCTATACAACCTGAATGAGAGTGTTGGGGGAAATTAAGAAGCAAGTTCACTAATTAACAGTCATTAATTAAGCACTTTTCCAGTTTTGGCCATTTTTGATCCTCTCGTCCTTGGATGCCCTTGACCTCAGAATAAGCGCGACGTTTTGTTGTTGTTCTTAATTCTCCACTAATTTCCACACACAACAAATTATTTCCGTGATCTTCTTAAATTCGGCTTCGATATAGGACCATGTTGGGAATTTCAGGAAATCCAAATCAAAGAGACTTGTGAAAATAAAAACGGACACACCGTGTATTGCCGAGTGTAATGGCTAGCTAAAAATTACAAAAGAAAATTGCATAAGTAGGCTCGTGTACGTTTGCTATTGTGAAACCGTCAGGCGCACAAATTTTGTTACAATAATTATTAATCTTTGTCAACACAGCGCCTAAATTTTAAAAGGAGCAATTATTTTAATGGTTGATTTTGCTATGCTCCAATTGAAGGCGTTTTTCTCTATGAGCGCCAATTTTTATTATCTCCTGTGTTAAGTCCCCTATAGTGGCGAACTAGGGGATGAATCCAATAAAACTTGGCAAATAGATATAATTCCACGAACTTTTGAGTTCGGTTTTTTCTAAATTAGACTTATTACAAGGTTATTATCAGCTGAGAACCTTTTTGGCCCAACGGCCGTATTCAATAGAGGCATTTCTCTGGATGACCTTGCGATGCTTAGTGAGGATACCTTGACCAATACGGCTGATCTTTTTATTCATTTCAGTACAACGATGGTAACCCTTCTAACCAGCACGAGCAACAGTGAATGAAACTCTTGAAGCATGCCATGCTCCAATACAAGGAACCTTCCTTAGACCTTTGTGTGTCTTGTCCACTGCTGGACATAGGCCTCTCCCAATACGCGCCATTTCGACCGGTCCCAGCTCGTTGCATCCTTCTGCTACCAGCAGCCCTTCGCAAATGGTCAGTCAGAGGGCGTCCTACACTACGTTTGCCGAGCCGTAGTCTTCATTCAAGAACTGGTTTCCCCCATCGGTTATCGGTTCTTCGACATATATGACCAGCCCACTGCTACTTCAGCTTGCTTATTCAACCAGCCATGTCGACGACCTTAGTTCACTGTCGGATAACCTCGTTTCGTACAATGTCCTTCAAATGCGATTTGCAACTGGGGAACTAGCCATATCTTGAGTGTCCCCGTCTCGGCTCCGTATATCATAACAGGTAGAAAGCCGTGATTGAAAACCTTTGTTTTCAAACTTTGCAGCATGGGTGACGAGAAGACTCGATGTAGTTTACCAAACACTGCCCAGTCAAGCTGAATCCTCCTCTTGGCTTTCCTCGCGGAGTTGTTTCTACCTAATGGCAAAATCCGCCCGAGTATTCGGAAACAACTTCGAAAAGGTGGCCATTTACCACGATTGGTCTTGGAACATATTTTATGATCATTGATAATGACTTTCGTCGAAATTGCCTGGCTGATTACCAAATTTTTTTTTTTCTAAATATGATTACGTAATATTGTTAATAACAAATATATATTTGAATTAGCCAATGACAGAAGTACTCGGTCAATAGTAAAATTTTCATGGTCAAAGATTACGTCTTTATTCAAATTAACCTTGTTAATATTAAACGATACTTCGGGAAGAACAGAGCGTAAATGACAGAAACAAATTATACACGAGTGAAAAACGAAAATTTAAAAAAGTTTTCGATCATATCTTTTATATTTTTATAGCTATATTTATGCAAAAAGAGCGATAGCTTATATTTAAACGTACTTCGATATAGTTTAGTCAAAGTGTACGCAAGAAAAAAGAAAAAAAGATTTACATCAAAACTCACTCTAGTAAAATCAATTGGCTCCTCATCTGATTAAAAATTTAGGTATAAAACTTTTTCAAAGTCGAGCATATACGTCTATTTTGAGGTTTTAGATTTCTTTGATTGGGTTTAATGGTTTAAATATTCGACTAAATACAAGTTAAAAGGGTCAATATAGGTCAATACAGGTGACGGACCAACATCACTGGCCATTTTTATTTTATTTTACCCATTCAACAAGTTAAATTTCAACGGTCTTCCAAGTTGAAGTGTGTTCGACTTATAGCGGAGAGCGCTAGGTTTTAGTTGATGTGGCGTAGGTTTCAACGGTTGACGGTTTAAAAGCTTCAGACTGGAATATCGAAACGCACAGTGCGAAGTTACCAGGTGTTGTGTTTACGTATTAACTCTTCAATAATTTAATTGTAACTCTTCGATATTTTAACGATTCGATAAAAATATCGAAGAATTCTGAATTGGAGATCAGATATGAGTTGTAAAGTCAGAAGGTCAGAAGTACCTATATTTAGCGTTCAATTAACAATACATGAAACTTCCAATGGGTTAGATTTTGTTAGTGTTTCATACCAGATATCTTTTCTTTGAACGTCTCAGTTAGAAATAGGATAAAACTTTTTAATTCTAAACCCGCGTTGTGCCTATACACCTCCTATTAATTAGCAACTTTGCATGAACAATTACGAGGCAAAATATAGTCACTAATAATATAATCCATTCCACGCTGCTATCACCTTTGACCATTCATGACAATTTGGATTCACGCATTTGAAATTCGTATACTTAACTACTTAACTAATGTATCGTATTATAAATGAAAATTATTATATATATTATAGCACAATTAATAAAAATATTGTATACTATACAAATGATATTTCGCCAACTATAATCACGCACTATAATCACAAATATACGCACATATAATATATTTAATTTATTTTAATAATTAATTTTATGTGTGCGTATCACTAGTAAAAAAAGATATACTATCTTTATATAAGATATACTATATTTTTATACTAGTGATACGCACACATTAATTCAACAATCTCATCCGATGGAAGGGAAGGTAGAAGGTATTTGTAGCTTTGCGATTTCATGTAATTTTAATAGATATATCTCTAAATCTATTTGATCTTTTTAAATTTTTATTGAATTGATATTCAATTATTTTTTGTGAAATTACTCCACTACTTTGTTATAATTATTAATGCAAAGTTCGAACACTCATTGAAAAAACCAAATACAAAGACACGACGCAAGCACATAGAAAAATT